TGATGCGCATCGCACTCTTTGTGTATGCATATACCCGTCCCCTCCTCCCTCCTCCCCCTGCCCAACATCCAATAAATGTTATTCTTATATGTGCACTTATGTGTTGATCAGTTAATACCAATTTGATGGTGAGTACATGTGGTGCTTGTTTTTCCATTCTTGGGATACCTCACTTAGTAGAATGCATTCCAGCTCTATCCAGGAGTACACAAGAGGTGCTATATCACCATCGTTTCTTAAAGCTGAATAGTACTCCATGGCATACATATACCACATTTTATTAATCCACTCATGTATTGATGGACACTTAGGTTGTTTCCACATTTTTGCCATTGTGAATTGTGCTGCTATAAACATTCGGGTGCAGGTGTCTTTTTTATAGAGTGTCTTTTGTTCTTTTGGGTAGATGCCCAGTAATGGGATTGCTGGATCAAATGATAATTTTACTTGTAGGCATTTTCTTACTTCAGTCTTCCAGCAGCCCCCAGGACAAAGGTATTATCATCCCTGTTTGAAAGATGAGGAAACTTAAATCCAGTACCTTGCTTAAGGGGAAGGCTGGGGCTGTGAAATTCCACAGCACACACATCTCTCCCCCACCAACCCCCCATGGTCTCCCTGGTACAATCAGTAAGATTAAAAAAAAAAGTTTTAAAATTTATACATAATACAATTTATGTTTTTGGTGTTCTATGAGTTTTGACAAACGCATAGATCAAGTGGGGTCTATTTAAATTTTTTATTTTGAGATCATTTTACATTCATGTAATTACAGGAAATAATCCAGGGAAATCTTGCATACCCCTCACTCAGTGTCCCCCAGGAGGAACATGTTGCCAGACTGTAATGCAACATAACAAGCAGGAAATTGTCAGTGATACAGTCAGGATGCAGAATATTGCTGTTTCCACATGCGTCCCTCCTGTTGCCTGTAATGACCACAGCTACCCCCATCGTGCCCCCACACCCCCATCCCAAACCCCCGGCAACCACCAGTCTTTTCTCATTCTCTAATTTTGTCATTTTAAGGATGTGATATATTTATAACTGGACTCACACAATAGTTAACCTTTGGGGACTGGCTTTTTTCACTCAACATAATTCTGTGGACATTCATCCAAGTTGTGTGTATACATGGTTCGTTCATTTTTATTGCTGAGTAGTATTCCGTGGTGTGGCTATACCGCAATGTGTTTGATCATTCACTTGGTAAAACGCATCTGGGTTGTTTCCTGGTTTGAGCTGTAGTGAATAAAGCTATTATGAACATTTGTGTGTGGGTTTTGTGTGAACATAAATCTTAATTTTTCTGGGATAAATGCTAACAAGTGCAATTGCTGGGTAGTTGCTTGAGTGGGCTTTCGAAGGGTACCTTTGGGATGGAGAGGCAGGCACTGGTGGCAAGTGCAGACTTGGAAGCTGGGCCACCAGGACTCAAATCCTAGCTTTGAACCCAGACTCTGGGCAAGTTGCTTCATACAGTTGTAAAATGGGTTAATTGAACCTGGCTTGTAGCTAATGTGTATAAAGTACTTGGTACACAGTAGGTACTCAATAGATGGAAGCTAATTTTAATATAGGTTAAAAGAAAGCCCACTAGACCAAAGCAGGGTCTGTGCCCCAGAAGTGGCCCATGGGAGGGCTTTGTCAGGCTTCCATTTGTGCCTGTGGTATTGCCCAGTTATTGTCTTCCCTGAGAAGACCCTGGCCCTGTTCTCCAACTGGGCTGTGAGTCTCTGGATGGGTGCCAGCATTCCTCGATGAAGTTGGCCAGACCCATGCCACGGATCAGAGGAATCTCAGGGAATTCCAGATTGCGCTGGGCTCTGCTGTTCTGATTCGCCTCACAAAGTCTGAGAACGTGCCCAGATCATTTCAGATGTTACTGTGATTTAGCCCAATTCCAGAAATGTGTATTTAATTGTTATGGTATGTAAGGCATTGTGCTAGGTGTTGTGAAGGGTTTGGAAGAAATTGCTCTCTTCCAACAGACCAGAGAAGGCAACACCAGCCTCTGGCCTCCTAGGGGATCCCCCACAGCTGCCTGATAAGGTCTGTGTTCAGTGTGGCACCCAAGCCCTTGGTCTGGGTCGAGTCTGTCTCCCCAGCTCCTGCCCTGCCACGCCTCCATGCACTGTGTGGTAGCCACTAACGAGCTCACGTTCCCCACACACTGATCCAGCCAAGTGCCACGCTTTGCTCACAGTCTTCCTTCTGCCTGGATGCCCTTCTCCTTCCTGTTGAAATCTTGCCTGTTTTTAAAAAGTAAACAATTCCCATGTGCCTGGGATGGAATATTCAAACAGCACGGAAGGCCGCACGGTCAGTATTTCTCCCCTCCGAACCATAGTTGCTTCCTCCAGGCAACCACGGTATGGAATCATACTTGGACTCCCTTTTCTTGCCTTTTTCACTTTATATAGAGTGTCTTGGAGATTGTTTCATATCTGTACCATTAGAATGGCCTCATTAAAGTTTTTTTGTTTGTTTTTGAAGGCCACACAGTATTCCTTTACATAATGATGCCATAATTTATTTAACCAGTCCCCTGTTCATAGGTGTCTATCTTGTCCCCACTTCTTGGGCTCTTACAGACAGTGCTGCATGTCTTTGGCCCCTGTGCGAACGAGTCTCATTAAGACCCAGCTCTGGTGCCCGCTTCCTGTTTGCCTCTGGGGTGTGTAGTGCCTGGTTCACAGCACTCTCTGAGACCTCTAGACAGGGATTGTGCCATGCCTCCTTTCTCCTTTCACTGCCTGCCATGTCACCTGGGAGCTTAGGTGCTTATGCTGCTGCTGGGAGCCCTGGTCCCTTGTAGGGGCTCTGGTGGGGATGGAGCCGGCGAGTCACTGCCCCAGTCTTGCTTCCTGCTTTGTGCGGAGCTGCATCTGGATGGGCTGACGTGTTTCCATGGCAATAGATTTCCACAGTATCATTTTTACTGGCCTTCTATTTCACTAGAAGGATGGGCCGTAATATAGCCAGGCCCCTTTGATGAATTTAGCTTGTTTCCTTTTAAACAAATTTGAGAGGATGGCTGCTTGGGTGTGCACTGCTGAGAAAAAGGTCTGGACTCACAGGCTTCCCTGTGAACCTAAGAGCGGTAGCTGCTGTTTATTGAGCAGTTACTCAGATAAGCTAGGCACTGAGCAAAGAGCTTGAGCTCTATTTTCGTAAGGTACAATAACCTTGTGAGGCAGGCACTGTTTTCCCTATTTTACAGAAAGGGACAAGGCTCAGAGAGTAACTTGGCAAAGGTCACTCAAACAATATATTTCAAAAGTTGAGATTACAACCAGGTATGCCAGACTCAGAACCTGAGCCTGTAACCACTGAGCCTACCTGGCTTCTTAGAGAGGAAAGAAATGGAGTAGGGAAGGGGACAGGTCACCCCCCATTCCCAGGCCTTGTGCCAGTGACTGGCTGCCCCATAACTGAATTGAGGCTCACACCCAGAAAGGGGATGGCCGCCATCAGGCCTCCACCGCGAGGCGGCACAAAGGGCCCCATTGAAGGGTGAGTTGAGGAGCACCCCTCCTGGCCCGCTCCTGAGCCAACATCCAGGGGGCCGGCGGGCATTTCCAGCTCAGCTGTCTGGCCAGAACTTGGAAGAGTGGTCTGAAATTCCTTCCTTGAACAGATCCCTCTTGGTTAGAACGTGTAGCTTCTAGACTGATGTGGTATTGAAACCGCATCAGGTCTCGCAGTGTGACCTGGGACTCTCATACTCCCCTGGGCCCCCCTTCCTGAACAGTCAGGCCTTGAACATGTATTGATTTCCCTCCTCCCCTTGCCTGCTTTTGCACTTTGGATGAACCTTGTTTTCGAAGAACAGTAGAAGGTAATTTTCCTGTGCTTGCCAGCTGGCCCATAATTGAGCAATTTCAATAACACCCACTGTAAAGTCTAATCGAAGTAAACAGGAAAATATGATTTACAATCTGGACAGCAAGTAAATACCAGGGTGCAATTAATTTTTACATAGAGCAGCAGATTCTGAAACATTTTCCTGTGCTGAGCAGTTTGTTTTTAATTACAGATTAGCAGCTGCTTTTCTATTTATTTATTACTATTATCATTAATTTTTTTTCTTTTTGTTGGTGATCTTCAGATTCTTTGTATCTTTGTGTCTTTCTTTGAAGGTTTAACCATAGGAGGGTGGGATGGGGAAATAGGACCAGGGACATTAATTTGTAAGGAGTGATTTTTTTAGACCAGAACTGAAGGCTGCACTCTTTCTTCATTTGCTTGAGGAAGTGATGGTGGACTGGGGAGAGGGTGTGGATGTGGATGGGCTGTGCAGGACGGGATGCCGAGGGGATCCTGTCTCTGCTGGAAGCTCACTCACTCTGGTTTATTCTGGGGAGGGAGACAAAGCTACAGAGGCCCCTGGTGTTGCAAGTATGTTGATGTTGAAACGCGGTACCTCCAGGGGTAGGAAATGCGTACCTTTAAATGGACCTTCCAGATTTTCCCATAGCTTCTATTCATGACTTGGGGAGAAGGGGAGCCCATGTGCTGACTGTGAACACCCAAGGCCAGTTGGCTGCCCAAGGGCTGACCCCTTCAGTGTTTGATGCCGGGATGAAGTGTGTTCTGACCCTCAGCGTAACTTAACGTGTCCCACTGTATGCTGAAGCTTCCTGTAAAGCCAGCTCAGTGATAAGCTGTCACACAATTAGAGCACACTGCAGGGACAGCATATTGTTAGCCACCCAGACCCTGAAGTTGATCTTAAAGGTATCACATGGCTGGACCCAAATTTGTTGCTCTTCCCACCAGGGTGTTGGCTTTTAGGAATGGCCTGAGGCTGGCATTGGGGGTAACTGGGGGTTCCGAGAAAGTGAATCTGGGCCTTGGTGACCCTCCCAGAATGCATCTCCTTTAGCAGGGAGGTACTTCCATTCCCATGGGGTTTCCAGTGCTGGGCAGGGGCTACTGTCTCAGGACCCTGGTCTTCTTTAGTCCTGAATCCCTTTGCCTTTCTTTTGTCTTTCCAGGGAGTCGACCACACTGGGCCATTTCCCAGAAGGGCCCCACCCCAGGGTGAGTGGCTGATGGGGAGCTGTTTCTGCTGACATCAGTCACCTAGGAGGTGCCCAGGCATCGCCTCTGCCCAAGTCTTCCCGATTGAAGATGGCTCATTCCCACCCTGGGACAGAGCCCAGTGCCTGAGGTCCCTACCATGGTGATGGTCCTGAGTAAAAGCCTCAGTAACCAGGGAGCTGACTCCATAGCATGCAGGAACTTCAAGCCTGAACTGGTAAGAATGTAGCAGGCATCATTTCTTTGACCTTTGTGAGGCGTGATGTCCAGGTTGGGTGTGGACTGAGCATCCAGGCCTAGGAAACTGAGTCCAAAGTGCCCAACAGCAGACCTCTGTGAGACGGTCCACACTGGACCATAGGGCAGAGGAGCCCAGAGCTTGGCTAAGTACTTGGAAGAAGGAAGTAGCTCAGCGCAGATTAGAGGGCATCTGGTGAGTGGGGAGGGGAAGGCCATCACCCTGCTAAATAATACCAAATGTGGTTCTGCCATCCTACCAGGCTGAGGCCAACATTCCTTCTGTTTCCACCCTGTAAGAGGAGGCGGTTTCCAGAAGGAGGGTGGTGCCCTGCGTGGGGGCCAAGATAAGGCCATACCTCAAATGGGTGGTGCCTTGCGAGAGCTGCTACTGCAGGAATGTCAGGAGTGGGAGATGATGGAGAAAGAAGGCATAGTCTGGCAGCCAAGGTGGTGGGCCATGGGGACATCTGCCCTCTGGCTGCCCTCTCCCAGAGTTGTCCTCTGACCAAGTGGTAGTGGGCTGGGGCAGAGGCAGACCACGAGCAAAACAACCCTCAGCAGCTGAACCCCATCAGCAGCCCCAACCTTCCTTCCAAGCCCAGTTCCTCAAAAGTGAGTGGGGGCTGCACCCCTGCAGAGGGAGCACGAAGAAGTAACATATGGGCATAAACACTCCTGTGCGGTAGTTTTATGGATGGGTAAGTCCTCAGAACTCTCGGCAGCTTCTGTGGTCTGGAAGGGATTGACTGCCCAGGATCATATCACCCAGGGACCCCTCCTGGCACCCTTCACAGCCCCTGACAAGAACCCACACTAAGCACTCTTGGGGGTCTCCATTCTCGTGCCAGTGAAAACTAAGCCTGGAGCAGACAGATCTAGGTCTCTGACCCTGGCAGGAGCTTGGAGAAGCCACTGAGGGCTTCACAGAGCACCTTCCATGCGTTGGATGCTGGGCTGGAGGAATTCAGGAAACAAGATGAGTCGGAGCTGGGCCTTGCACTTCTTGCCCTTGTGAAGCTCCCAGTCTAGAGGGGGATGGTCTGGCCAGATGTGAATACAGTGACACTTCAGGATCCCATCACTGGTAACTGATAACTGCAGCGCATGTTAAGCCCAAGGGTGTGCAGAATAGTGGGGTTGGCGTGATTGTAGCATATCGGGAAACATCATGGAATAGGGATGTTAGATTTGGCCTTGAAGGATGCGTAGAAGTGGCTTAGAAACCGTTGGGTCCAACCTCTTCATTTTATAAATGAGACAGCTGCAACCTGGGGCGGGGTAGTAACTTCCTCGCTAGCTCTGCCTCCTCCCCTCCTGCCAGCCCCACTTCCTGGGTATGTGTTCAGGCCTCTTCTCTCTGGCTGGTGTTTGGACACTAGTCTCAGTGGACTTTGCTGCCCTAAGTCTCTCCAGCCCTTACTAGGCATGGCAGCAGTGCCATTTGGCTCATGGGCTGCAGCCTGTGAGGCCTGCACGGGAGCTTGAGTGCTTGTCCTGACCCAGCCTTAAGGATAAGGACCCAGCTCAGCTTCTCCCTGTGTCCCCAGCACTGCCAGGTTGGGCAGAGAGCAGGCGCGTACGGTGTGTATGTTTGATGGCAGTGTTTGTCATCGCAGCAAGGAGTAGAGCTGCTACCGCCATCCATTCCTTTCCAGTGTGCGTTTGGTGTATATCTGTTATTGGATTACTTGTCACCACCCCACTGCCACCACCCTGGTTCCTCCTGCTGTCTTATGTGGATTCTGTGGTAACTGGCCCCCTGCTTCCAGCTCTTTTAACCTGTTCTCCACCCAGCAGCCAGCAGGGATCACTGTCAGATCTGTCCCTCCTCTTCTCAGAACCTTCCACTGGCTTCACATCTAATGCTGGGTACATTCCAAGCCCTTGCTAGGACGTATGAGGCCCCACATAGTCTCGTCCATGTGACTACTCTGACTGCATCTCTGCCACCCTCCTGCCGTGCTCTGCTTAGGCCACACTGGCCTCCTTGCTCCAATGTGCCAAGCGTTAGACTGCGCCAGGGCCCTTGTACTTCTTCCCTGGCGTGGAGCTCTCTCCCCATAGCAAGACTCTCTCCCCGCATCCCTTCTTTCTCTGGCCACTCAGCCTGAAATTTAATTCTGCCACCAGCCCCCCTTCTGTCTTCTGTCCCTGTCTTTTTCCCTCTTTGGCAATTGTTACTTTAACGTTTTACCTGTGGATCTTGTTTGTTGAATGACTGCATATACTAGCATGAGAGCTTCATGAAGGCAAGAAATGTCTCCCTTGCTTGTTGCTGAATACCCAATGCCTTACACCAGGGCTCACTGTGTGGCAGGTGCTTGGTGGGTACTTGTGCCGTTGGTGAGTGGACAGGTCCCTGCCTCCTGGCTACTTTTCACTCACTATTGTTTTAATCCCTCTCTGGCTGATGCTCAAGTTTAGGGCTAAATGAGTGTGACTAGAGTGACTCTGACCAGAAAGGAGCAACCTCGAGGGTGAGGGGCCATCTGCAGGTCCCGAGGGAGGAGCCCTTCCTGGGTCCGGCTGTGCCGTTGGCCACCTCTGAGCTTGAGCCCTTCTCAGGGTGGGACTGGCAGGTGTTTGCTGCAGAGCTCGTTCCAGAGCACATGGGCCTGAGGTAAGCTGAGTTGCTCTTCTAAGAGACGTAGCCTCAGCCCCTGCCGGGAGGAGCGTGGCCTCCCACCCCTACCAGTGAAGGAAAATGCATCTTCTCAGAAAAGGAGAGCAAGTCAGGGAGAGCTGTGAGCGTGTCAGAGGGAATTCTACCATGTGTACTCTCGCCGCCTCACAGATTAGGATCTTCACTTTCTTCCCAAGCTCTCCCTCCCCTTCTTGGAAAGTATCCTTTTCTTTTTTGCAGCTTTTTATTATTGGCTGATCCGAAAACCACCCAGCCTGGTGCTTTGGGCCCATCCGCCTTCCTCCTCCTCTTTTGTCCCCTTGGCTCCAAATGGGAGGTTGGTTGTAGGGAGTGGCCTCTTTGGAGAGGGGCTTTCTCGTCAGTCACTGTGTGGCCCGGCCCAGCCCAATGCTGCCTGTGGTGTGGCCGGCAGGAAGGTGTAGAGAGCTCGGCTGTGCCGAGTGCCTGGGGAGGCCGCTTACAGAGGTCCAGTCACCCCTCCTTGTCTTGGAGCCAAGGGGCCAGGCCGTGTCCATCTATACCTTGTTATACAGACAGGAAACCGCAGCTCAGCGAGCTTGAGGGAGGGGGCGCCAGGACACAGACTTCAGTCCGGGCCTTCATCTTCTCTACCCAGTGCCTTCCTGCTTGGGCCTCAGCTCTGGAGGCTGCGATCATCTCAGGGCTCCTTTGGGTCTTGGGGAAAGATGCACACTGTAAATAACTGAAAAAAGTCCCAAAATAATCTGCCTAGTGATGACATCTGTGAGACAGAATGTAAGATAAGCTGATGTTAGCATTTGCTTTGAACAGCCTACAAAGGTTCAGAGGAAGCTGATGGGGTTTTGCTTTAGCTTCCTAAACTGGTAACATCATCCTCATGTAAATACCATCAAGATAACAACAGGAAAGATGGAAAATAATTTTTCTTTTGTTTTCTAATCAGACTAAGATGATAACAAGTGGAAGTTTAAGATGGAAAAAGAAAACATGATTTGGGGGGAGGCTGGGAAACGCTCTGCACAGGCATTGGAATTGTGGGAGCAGGCCCCAGAGGCGTGCCTCAGTCGCAGAGGAGAGAGAGTCTAAGGCCTTAGGGGAAAGGCATCTGGGTCCCTGGAGCCTGGGTGTCATGGCACACCAGAGGGGCAGCCCACGGTGCTTCCTCTGAGGCTCGCTGAGGAGCAAGAGGACTCGGCCTCTCTCCCTGCTCTCTTGGGGGTCCGTGTCATGGTTCTCTCGTTCTTTTTAAAAAAAACTAAATGCTGGTGACGGTGTGACTTTCCGTCCTCCTGAGAAAGGTGCAGGAAAAAGGAAAAAAGATCTGACAGACTCTCAGCATCCGGCATTTGCCAGCACGGGGGCCCACTTGCTTGGGGAGAGGTGGCCTGAGAGCGGAGGCTGTGCCCACGGCCGTGGCTCAGCTTGTACAGTCAGCAGGCATGACTGCCTGGGCCGCCTTTCCCCCACCCTGCCCTGCTGCTTTCCTCTGCCAAGTGGGCTCTTCCTTCCAGCGTTCTAACATTAGCTGCTCCTCTGGACGGCAGCCCAGACATTTGACCTTGGGAGCACTGTGCTCCTTCCCGCACGCCCACGCTCAGGCCGAGGGCCTGTTCTCTCATTTCCAGAGTGACCACCTCCTTGACCAGGCCTGGCCTTCTCTGCCCAGCTGATCTCCCAGCCCTCTCTAAGGTCTGGAGACCAGAGGGAACTGATGACCACCTGCTCCTGGGAGAGGGTGGTACGTGGCTCCTGGCTGCCTGACTTTTCCCACAACCACCAACACTAGTTTTTTTGAGGGGCTGTTAGGTAGAACAGGTACTTCCTTCTCCTTCTGTGCTTGTCAGATCAGGATGCCAGGGCTAAGTTACTTACCTGGTCTGAAGAGTTAGTGGTCACATCAGGCCTTGTACCCAGCTGCCTGGGCGCTAAGGATCTTCATACTTCTGGTCACACTGAGTTGGCACTTTGGGTGCAATGGCCTCAGCCAGGATCCCTGGCAGGACACAGGCTGGCCTGAAGTTGGAACGGAGAGAGGTGCACCCAGAGTCCGAGCCAGTCGGATACCTTTCACCCTGAGCAGGCAAAGATAGTAAGGCACCCACTCATGCTTTGGCTGACCTTAGAGTGTCAGGAGTCAGGGCTGCTGTATCTCTGTCAGCATCTTTGTGAGTCTCTGCCTGAGGACACTGTTCCCTTCCCAGCTTCTCTTTGTCATCCTGGCCCTGGATCTCCCTCCTGCTTTCTATGCCACAGTCTCCCCAGGTTCCATTTGGGAGGCATGAGTTCCGTTTTGGAAGCTCACACTCCAGGGCAGAGGATGAGCTGCTCCCTGTTGCAGGGTGGCTCCCTGTAACACTACGTTAGGAGAAGGAAAAAGCAACTTAATTGCTTTAGCTGATAATCTGCAGAAGAAAGTTGTGAAGAACTGTGGTTATGGCCTAGAATTTTCTGGATGGGCTAGTTCCTCATTTGGAACCTTAATTGTGTCTTTATTTAAGTCAGGGCTTCTTTCTTTAGTCAGACAGATGGCCCTGAAGCCTCAATTTGATTTCCAGCTTTTGCCTTTCCTACGAGGATCTGATTCCAAAAGCCTTCTCTCGTGATCTAAGGAGTCTCACAGAGATGAGGCCCTGCCCTGGGGTGGGCTTGGGAACAGAGACTCCACAGTGGGAGAAATACAAAGGGGAAATGTGCTCTTGTCTTGTTTCACTGCAGAGCTCAGCCAGGGCTCGGGTGCTCACTTCTGTGCAGACACTGAGTGTCTTGTGAAACCTCAGAGGGCCAAGAGTTTCCCTCAGGGCCTGGTGGGCCTCAACACACAGTGATCTGCACGTCCTTCCCACCGTGGGTGCAGCAGGTTCAAAGGGTTAGAAAGGCTGGCTGTAAGAATGGCATATCCCAGTGGGAATTTTATCATATACTGGGTAGACTGGGAATAAAAGGCTCTGGCCAAGCAGGAACTCCATTGGTTTGCCCCGGGGGGAATTGGACCCAGGGAAAGCTGCCAGTGGTCAGGGTATACTGGCACAGTCTGGGATACACCATACTAGCCACACGGACGGTGCTCAGAAAGCAAGACTGGCCCTGATATGGTCTTGAGGCCAAGCATGAAATCAGTCAGGGTTCCTCATTTGTTAGTGACAGAGGCCACCCCCAGCTAACTCGCACCGAAAGAAGACTCTCTGGAGCAATGGGAGAGAGTTGGTGAGGGAAGAGTTGGTGAGTCAGGCCCCAGAAAGCACAAGGCCAGTGCAGCTGGGAGGACTTTGGAAGCAGGTTCTTATGGGCAGGCTGAGAGTCTCCATGCTGGGTGAATCAGCCCAGCACCACTTTGGTTCAGCAATCAGAGCACAAAGCCAGTGAATGTCTTGTCAGCCCAGCCTGAGTTCTGAGCCTACTCCATGGCTGGGGAGGTGTAGGCTTCTTGGTTGACAGTCCCACCAAGACACTATCCAGTGAGGAGGGAGGTATCCCAATGTGGAATTGGGGTGCTACCAGCAGAAGAAGTGGGGCTGTACCACTGGGCCGTGCAGTTTCATCTGCTCAGTGAGAGCAGCAAAGAGCAGCTCATCTAGAGCAGAGGGAAGTGGAGAAATTGTTCCTTCAAGCTGGAAAGTCACAGTGTACGCTGTCGCTGGTCCACTGGCACCTCTGGGTGGAGTGTCAGAGGCTGACATGAGGAGCCTGGGCCAGCTGCGTTCGGGGGTCAACCCTAACCCTCAGGCTGGCCCTCTCACTCCTTCCCCACTGAGTTTGGACTTTGCATGAGCCCAGTGATTTTGGGAGGCAGTAGGTTCTGCCTGGTGAAAATCCATTTCCAATGGCCCAGCATCCACTGGGAGGGTGGGCACAGGAGCCAGACGGGCTGGCGCTGACAGGTGCCATAGCCATGGTGCCTGCTCTGCACTGGGGTTGCTGTGAACAAGAGAGCCCCCTTTCCTCAAGAAACTTCCTTTCTCACTGAGCAGAGAATAAGCACAGGAACAGATGAGCCAATACATGCTGTGTACATTAAGGTGATGGGGGAGAGAAAAGCTTGGGGTGGGAGATGCTGCTTCAGCCAGGATGGCCAGGGAAGGCCTCTGAGGAGGCCACAGGCCAAGAGCGAGGGTACCTTTTGTGTAAAGGCCCTGAGATGGCAGCGACTGGCTTGTCCCCACCACGTGGCTTGAATGAGGAGGGGAGGGACAGAGTGAGGCTGAGGGAACTTGAGCAACGTAGCAAGACCCTGTCTCTACAAAAAAAAAAATTAAAAATTAGCTGGGTATATGGTGCATTCTTATAATCCCAGCTACTTGGGAGGTTGAGGTGGGAATATCCCTTGAGCCCTGGGAGGTTGAGGCTGCAGTGAGCTATGATGACACCACTGCACTCCAGCAAGGGTGACAGAGTGAGACCCTGTGTCTCAACAAAAAAGAAAAGACTTTGGGTGGAGGGTGGAGAACAAGGGCCCAGGGCCCAGACTGCAAGAGCAGTTCGTAGGTGCGTTCAGTGGGGGCTGGTGGTAGCTGGGAACAGGGGCAGCGCTGAGGTAATGAGAGGTGTACTCCCCACTCTGGGATCAGCGGGCTGCTCTGGGCATCTGCAGCAAATGCTGACAAGTCCTCATGGAGTGAGTGAGCGAGCGAGCAGGGGAGCCCTGTGTCCTGGCCCAGTGGCTTCCCTCTGTAGGCTGACAGACCCCAGCATCTCTGGTAAGGTGGCTGGTGCCTACTCATGTGTCCATGTTCCCTGGGAGGGTCTGAATCAGAAGGGCACTGAGGTGCCCCTCGGTCTGGAACACCCTGGCTTAGTGGGCGACAGCCAGTGAGCACAGCTCTGCTGGCAAGGGGCGGGAGGTTGGCTCACTGCTCGGCTTCCTGTTTCTGTGTGGATAACCCCAAGCTGTCCTTCATGGCACCTATGTGCTGGTGACACCAGCAAGCCACTCTGGTGTTCCCTCTCTCTCTGGCTTTCCTGGGCCTGTCCTGCTGTGGATTTCTGTGGGCTCCCTAGCCTGGGTTGCCTTCGCCTACCTGACAAGTGTGCGGTGGGGGCTGTGGTTCCCCAGGGGGTGTTTTCCTTGTGCCTGGATGCTCCGTTAGCACTGGAGCTGTCTCCTTTGGCAAGCAAGGCTCCTGGCCTGACTTTTCTCTCCAAACCTGGGAGCTTCCATAGGCTGTGCTCTTGGCTGTGCAAGCAGCACAGCTCCAGTGGGAGGGCTGTCAGTGTGTTTGTCACCCACTCTCCATTGGGTGACTTTGGCGTGTGCTTACAACTGTGCCGTATCAGCCAGGAGGAAAGCAGGTACAGCCATCTTTAACTCTTTCCAGATATTTCCATGGATGGCTATAGTGTGGATGGTCATGTCACTATGGAATCCATGGAGGTGACCTGGCCCGATAGCGTAAGGATTGTTTTAAACCAAGGAGGGGGAACTGGAGAAGGACTGCCCCACCCACATTTGCCCTCTGTGAGCTCCTTCTGGTCCTTCAACACCAGTTCAGGTGTTCGTCCCAGGAAGCCAGCCCTGACCTCTACCCTTGCCCCAGCACACACGCCCTAGGTACCCGCTCCAGACCCAGTCTCTCTGTAGTGTAGTGGTTTGTCTCCGTGACTGTGTCCTCTGTGAAGTGTGAACCTTCCTTTACCTCTGTGTTCCCAGGCAGGTCAGGATGGACCCTCAGTAACCCTGTGGGATGAACGCACTGCTGGCCATGTGCAGAGGTCCCTCGACTGGACAGCTGGGCATGGGGTGAGGGAGCTTGTCTGTTCCTGTCATTTGGCAGGGGTGGGTGGTGGTGATGGGGGCTCCACTCAGAAGTTAGAGCCCTTTATGACAGGCTGATTTCTTTGGGACCAGGAGCTTCTGTCACCATTGCATGATCAACCCTTAGCCCAGCCTGCGCAATAATTCCAGCACATACTCACTGAATAGGTGAGGGAGGGAGAGAGGGAGGGACGCTTTGTAACACTTGAGGCAGAACTTCTTGGGGCTCCAGCTGGGCAGTTTCTTCCTCACCAGCAAGGACTTGACTTGGGTTTCTCCTAGCACAAGGAATTCTCAGAATATTCCGTGCTTGGTTTGCTGTGTAGACATTGAGCAAGTGCCCATTTGGGGGTTCTTCTAGTCCTCATTGACCTGTTTTCCACCCAATGGCCATAACATTCATCTGAAGCCAGGCATGGGGTATGAGGGAAGATATAGAATGTCTACAGTAGAAAGGGAAACCGTTGTGAAAATACGGTGCCAAGGAGTTCAAAAGCCACAGCTGTTATGTTGAGACCAAATACAGCCCTTGATTTTCTGTTTCAGTTCAGAGAATGCCTTGGTGGGGGGCTCCTTGTAGCCACAGAACAGCCTGCAGAGCAGAGGCCACCCCTCCTGAGCTCTACCTGATGCTTCTCTGTAGGTCAGGAAGAGCTATTCTCCTTGTATCTGGGAGGGAGGGGTCTGTGGCTGGGAGACAGGGCCCTCTGCTCCTCACTCAAGGTTCTTCCTGTCCCCGAGGAGGTCCCCTGCTTTCGCAGCCTCTTCTCATCCCAGCTCAGGAAAGCTTGTTCAACTGTTTACTATCACACCTCCCCCTCCCACCTCCATGTCACTTACGTGGAAAAATCCCGTGTCAGAAGTCAAGGGGCTTTTGTGTGTTTTTAAAGCCCATTAGCTTGATGGACTCCATAACTCACAGGAGACTTGGGACAGAGAGTCTGGGCCTAATTCTGTGCAGATGTTGTCTCGTTGTATAATTTTTTCTCTTTTCCCTAATCTGACATTGGCAAAGGGCAGTTACTCCTTTATTTGTGACTATAGCAAAGGTCAATACAGAGTCATGTGCAAACGTGCTTCTTATGACTTGGAGAGTGAATAGCTTTTCTGGTTGTTTTCAGCACACGCCAAAGAAGATGAGTCAAGGACCTACACTATTCTCTTGTGGAATTATGGGTAAGTACCCGAGGCTGTCCTGGGAGCTGTCCCACTGGTCCTTCCAGCCAGGGCCTGAGTCCTCCAGGTGAGACACCAAAAGCACTTTCTGGACACAAGTTTACAAAGAGCAGGCCGAGGACTCTTTCTGTGTGTCTTAACTATGTCAGTCCCCAGCGGTCCTGGAGTGGGCCCGGGGACTGCTGGCCGGGATTAGGAGCAGGCACTGGTATGTGGTTTATGACTCTCACGTTGAGAGTTTCTGACTGACTGTTAAAGTAATGCATGGTGATTTTTTTTTTCATTCAGAAAATGTACCATGGTATAAAGTATAAAATGAAAATCTCTCCTAGCTCCAATACCTGGTGATGGTTACTGTTGATATTTTCGTGTATGTTTATGTTCTCAGCAATTTTTTTTCCTCGCCCACTCTATGATGAATATATAATTATATAAAACTATATTTGTTTGCTTTTTTTCACTCGGTAGTCGTTACCATCATGTTCCCATAGCATTAAAATTGTTCATTTCATGCATTTTAATGGTCTTTAGTACTGCATTGTGTGGCTGTATCAGAATGTCTTTAACATTGTTACTGTTTCTTGGTTCTTGAGTAAAGGGTCTGTTCTATTTGCTGTTGTAATTAGCAGAGACTAAGTGTCTCAGTCTTTGTCTACCTTCTAAATTATTTCTCAAAATAGTTCCCAGAGTAGAACAGAAAGGTTGGAGGGTAGGGACCTATTTTTAGGTTATTGATTCATGAGGCTGCCTTGGTCTTCTGTTTCTGTGCAAGTGTGAATTGCTGTTTTTTATAGGGGATGAAAATGACTGTATTGATTATATTGGTTTCTTGATGCTCCAGATGTTTGGGCACAGTTTCTCCTTGTGCTGTCTCCCTGGGACTCTTCTTGTCTCCTTTTGGGGATGTCTTGCCAGATGTAATGTCTGTGTTGAGTCAGAAACTAGACTTCGATGATGGATAACCCCTGTGGGCTTTCCAATTCAAAGTTTGTCTTTGTAGGACTGTGTAAAGTCTTTCTTGCCTTTCTTTCTCAGCCCTTTCCCTCTGTGTACAATGTTTTCTTTTCCTTTAGGTGCGGTGGCGAGGATAGAGGGCGCTAGATATGGCACACTGAGTGCTGTGCCCTGTATGCGCAGGATCCTGTTGACTCTGCCAGTGGCTTCAGTGGGGCGGGGGACTCGTTCACATACACGGAAACTATGGCCTAGTGAAGTGATCCTCCCCAAGGTCCTTTGTAGGCAGATTGGACCTAGGTAGGGAAGAAGGAAGATCTCAGTCACATGCCACAGCTCTGGGAGAGCTAGATGGTCCTCTTGATGCTGCCACCCAGACGCAGTGGAAACAGGGAGATCCTCTGGCCTTGGTTTACCCGCGTGACACTCTTCTGAGGCCTGTCCCCACATGATTGAATACCTGCTTTGTGGGTTATGGCTTCCAACAAACGGTTAGCACCCCAGCCACATGGCCCAGAAGCCTGCCTCATCACCTGCTTCCTGGGATGGTCTCATGATTGAGCTGCCTTTCTCTGGCATGTCCAGGAAAGGGAGAGAGGCTCCTGGGCACGCCCAGCCCCCCAGTCCTGCCTAGATCTTAGCTATAACTAGGCCAGACCAGAAAACCGGGTTGTGGAGATGTTGGTCTGTGTTTCAAGACCATTCATGCATTAGGCTTCCTTGGCCTTTGCACTATGTAAGTCATAACAAGGTGGGACTCTCATGGGCTTGTGATGGGCATAGTTGGGGCTCATATAGTCACTCTGAACTTGTTAACTTTTCTGAGTCTCAGTTTCCTCATCTGCAAAATGGCAATTATGATAGTATCTACCTTGTAGGCTTGTTGTGAGGGCTGTGTGAAATAATGTTTGTAAAGAGATCAGCACAGAGTGAGTGCTCCATAAGTAACAGGTAAAAAGAGGACTGAGACCAAAATTGAGAATTCTCCCTGAGAAGAGGCCTTCACATCCAAATAAAGGAACTACCTTGGATTTCTTTGGCGGGGAGGGGGGGCATAGGTTAGAGAGTCACCCTTGTAGGGGGAGATCCTCAGGCCCAGGGACTGAGGCAGAGGCCCTGGGGAAAGGGAGGTATGTGGGGAGAAGCCCAGATTGCCCAATGGAGTCTATCTGAGCCTGCAGAGCCCAGCAATCTGATTTCCACTGGGGGAGGCCTGCTCTTTACCAGGGAGGCCCATGGTTTCCAGGAGGGATGTGCTGTGTCTCCAGGCTCTTGTTTACAGAGGGCTCTGCAGGAAGTGCTGACTGGATCCAGTGCCTGCATCTCAGGCAGCCTCTTCCCCTATCTTCTTCCTGCTCTGTAGGCCAGTGCTAGGGCACTGCCGGGCAGCAGAGGGAGAAGCTGGGTGCAGCTGTGCTCTTGGGGATTCCATGGAGTCCATTCGTCCTTGTCTGCTGCTCTCAGTCCCACAGGCCTCATCTTCCATTGCTCAGCCCCCTCCCTGGTTTAGGAAAACCCTGACCCATGTGAGCATGCACTACCAAGGTGCTTCATTTTACCACGTTTCATTTTCATCTTCAGTGGCTTGTTCTAGTAGATATTAATTGAGCACCTACTGTGTGTGTCAGGCACTTGGTGTAGGGATAGAGTGAATCAGACCCTTCCCCTACCTTGAGGGAAATTTCTGTCTGGTGGTGGAGAAAGATCTACCAGCTTCTCTGTGGGTTAGGCCAACTTTGACGAAACGGCAGAGGCACTTAGAGCCATGGCAAATCTTTCCATCTTCCTGAGCATTGCGGGTGTTTGTGGGGTTTTAGAGCTGGCAGCACACCAGAGGTGCCACCTCCATCCTTCCTGCCTCTATCCCTTTCTTGCACTTGCTGGGGCAGAAGTGTCAGCATTTGGAGGCCTTACCAAGCCCAGCATGGTAGTGAAAGCTCAGGTTACCTCTCCAGCTCACTTAGACCCAGAATTGAGGTTTCTGTGGCCTTGCCCTGTACCATGAACTGGGAGTGCACGCCAGATGGTGAGATTTCATCTTAGGTGTGCCTGCTTTTCAACACTGGGAGGGGCCAGCCGGACTTTTTAAGAGGGTTTTGGGCCCTTCCAGGGCTGGACAATGCTGAGCAAAGATAAAATGTCAAATTATCATAATCACCAACCCCTAGCCTGTCTCCAGGAGGTAAGTGTTCTGGCACTGATCAGTGGCATTCTTTCGAGAGAGCTGGAGACAGTTGGCCCTGTGACTCGGGGTTTTTCCCTCCTAAGCCCCCACGCAAGGATCCTAGCTGGAAGCCAGCATGAGTTGGAGCTTCATAAATGTTCTGAAGAAAATCCAGGCAGGTGCAATAGTGGAGGAGCACAGTGGCCTGGTTGCTGCTAAAACGCCACCCTTTCAAGTGGCTCAGCCTCCCCTGCACACGCTTAGAGGTGCTACTAATAGAATCAAGAGATCACCACAATTTTGGGGGGGGAGGGGAGATGGAGTCTTGCTCTGTTGCCCAGGCTAGAGTGCCATGTAGTCAGCGTAGCTCACAGCAACCTCAAACTCCTGGGCTCCAGCGATCTTCCTGCCTCAGCCTCCTGAGTAGCTGGGATTACAGACATCTGCCACCATGCCTGGCTAATTTTTCTATTTTTAGTAGAGACGGGGGTCTCATTTTTGCTCAGGCTGGTCTCGAATTCCTGAGCTCAAGTGATCCTCCTGCCTTGGCCTCCGAGAGTGCTGGGATTACAGGCGTGGGCCACTGCACCTGGCCTGTTTTGTTTGTTTGTTTGTTTGTTTTTAAAGTACTTCAGTTTCTTTGATTGCGAGCTGGATATCAAGGCCTTCCCCTCCTTGTTCCTCATAACAGTTTGGGAACTTGACACAAATGATTTTGTGCTTTTGAAAGTAGGGGAGAGAAAAAAACCAGCGCAAGGTGCTGATGGGAGGAGCAGGGCAGAGTAGAGCCGAGCCGCTACCTAGCCTGCTCTGCGCCAGCCCCAGTGCCCCCTATTGGGGTACCAGCTCAGCCCGGTCACCACAGGGCCCTGTTTCCCTCTTGGTTTCCTTTCTCACCTCCCAGAACATCCCCAGCCCACCTCTGTGCTGAAATGAAATTTCCTCTGCAAACAGCATGATGAGTTCTTGTGCTCTTGACAAAGGAAACGTTGGTCAGGTGGCAGCTCCATGGGCGTGCCATGGCCAGGCAGGTGAGCCAGCCTCTGCTTCTGGCTCTGATTTCTGGTGGGTGCAGAAAGGGGCCGTGGCTGTGGCTGAGAGAACCAGCCTGTGTTGGGTGAGGCAGGGGCTGCGCGTGTGGCCTCAGTACAGGCTCCCTCTGGATCTCCCGCCATTTGCAGGGATCACACGTGTACGAGCTTAATTTTTTTTGGTGAAACGGCAAGTGGGGTGATAGCAGTCTCCATTCCCCACCCTTGGCTAATTGCAGCCATTCAGTGCTGTCTACTGCAGGGACAATGGACACCACACATGCCATTTTCCTCACCACTCAGGCGAGGAGAAGACCTGAAAATCGCATAATATGTGAGAAAGCGAAGGCAATACCAATTATTTCAAAAAGGCCACTAGGAAAAGTCTTGTAAATACAAGTCAGTGGACAGAGAACCAAACAATTCATATGCTAAAAAAAACTGGGATGGAAACCCATAATTACTTTAGGAGTTATGGTAATAAATTATTTATTAATGTAAATTATTTCACAGGCAAAGAACATAGAGGAAACTTGAGCAGAAGGATCATACATTATGTATAGAAAGGAATTGTAAAAATATTACAGCAGCCCCGCTTGTTCTGCTGCAGTCCAGGTTTGTCAGCGTTTTAATTACAGGCCCTGACTTTCCATGTTTAATTACTTGGCTGTTAAAGTCTACTCTGTACATAAAAGGGTTGTTCCTGGGGGCACTCTCTGTATTAATTTCTACAGGGTAAACCAGTTGGCTGTGTTGAGCTGGGTAGGGCTAAGAGATCTGACTTTGAGATTTGGTAGATTTTGGTCTTTTAACTCAGCCACGGTTTCTTGTTGAAAGTGATTACACCTGTA